AAAATAGCGGCGGAACAAGAATATCACCGTTGTGAGGAGGCTCGCTCCAATTACCATAACCTCTAAATGGTTACGCTACGAAATATAAACCAAATAATTTCAGTTTGTTTGTGTTCTGTTGGTAATCTTTGGGCTCTTTCCTTACATTCCATATTGAATCACTATTGCATGTTGGGTTGCTGCTGTTGAGCAAACTTGTTTGATTACCTCACAATAAAATCGTATTGGTTATAGTGACATTGCAACAAAGTCTGATTCGTTAGGAGAAACATACGAAGAAGCTTTGATTGAAAGAATAGAGATCACTACTATAATTGCTCTTGATCCATTGCTACAGGAAGGTTTCAAGTACAACTAAAGTAGGAGCTGAAATAGCACTGTTTATTATTGATTAGTGCGTACATATAGACAAGGCAAGACTTATTATATGCTTGAGTAATGTATATCTGATGCAGTTGGAGCTTTTTACATGGATATTGCATAATTCGTTTAGCTAAGAAATCATGCATAGAAGTTTTAGACAAAAGGTACGGAAATTTACTTTTGATCAAAGTTGTCATCATTGGATTATTAAAAAAAATTTGTTGATAGAAACACAAGTCAGCTTCCAAGAGGATGAAGAAAAGACAAAGGCACGCCAAGCATCCTTTTCTAATTGGCCATACAACTCTCCATCTAAAATGGAAATGGCTCAAGCAGGATTTTGTGTGGTGGATGCTAGTGGTAAAGTTGAATGCCGATATTGTCATTTGCGACAAGCAAATTGGACACACACTAACAATCCACTAGAATTCCATCGAAATCTCTCTCCCTCCTGCCCTTTTGTACGTGCAGTAAATCCTCTTCGTCCTAATCCTGTTCGTACACAATCATGGACAGAGTTCATTTCATCTGAACGACTTGTCACAATCAATGAATGTCCATACGAAGGTATTGTCCTAGCAAGACATTCTGAGCAAAGCCAAGTGAACATTAGATTATCCTCATTCCAAAATTTTCCCAATGGAGCACCTTCAACATTTGTGGAGCTCGCTGAGTCTGGCTTCATGTACGAAAACGATGGAATAAGCACAAATATCAGTTGTTTCTACTGTTCCGACTCGTCGAATAGTCTGCATTTGGCCCAACCGTTTATCGGCAGCCAACTTCATCAATCTCACATTGAGAATTGTCACTATGCTCAGCAAATGAATGATGTCGATCCGATGAAAGTCAACGGTAAGATTTTCAACTTCACTGTGTTAAGTTGTGAAGTGTTCTCCACAATACAAAATTGTAAAGGATGACTCATTTGTTTTTAGTTTCAGTTCAACTGTCATCTTCGTTTTGTGAATGGTGCCAAAAACCAGATACCCAACAAGAGTTAGTCGCTTGGCCGTGTCGCCATCGAACGGTCTGTATTCCATGTGGACAAGTTCTCCGAATATGTCCGAGATGCCAAAGTTCAGTGCAAACTTTCCTTCGAATTTATATGTAAATAATGTTCATCATTCATGTATATGCGTATATTCTTCACTGTTTTTTTTTTTTTGTTCTTGGAGTTTTTCGTTATGTCTTGTCTGGCAATTTTCAAAATAAGACACATTACAATGCATCAATTTCTGAAAGAATCATGCTTCATTATGGAGATCTGTGGTTAAAGACTTGAATATTTGTGATTCATCACTCACCATGCGCTACATCGAATCAATTTGTTTTTGTCGTACACCAATTTTGTTTTTACTGCATGCTCATTTTATAACCATGCATTTGTTGAATCCTCAATATCCGAAGTTGTTGTGATGAGATTTAATTGCGTCGTAAAAAACAAGTCAAATCGATCTAGCGGAATAGCCAGGAAAAGAAATGACAGAAGGACATAGTCCCGACTTCTACAAATAACGTTCATCGACATTGAAAGTCGTTTCACTGAGTCCTAGACTGACAGAATCATGATCAAGATGTGCTTAAATTTTTATACGTATAAGAATGAATTCTGTGCAATGAAGACTTTGACAGAAATTAACGATATTTGAAAGATGTTGCATATTATATAGTATAGACATTTTGAAACAGTGGATATAAAATATTTAAAAAAAGTATTTTTGTGTATCACAAGGTTTATGCTTTAGCTGATTATAGCAAATAAGAATGATGAATTGTGCCCTAAACATGGCCATGTCTGCCACAGAAATGGTCATTTATGCCATGGCCAACACTTTGTTTCAGACGGACAGACACAGGGGAATTATGGATTCTAGATTCTATCCTTTCAGTCTAGGGAACATTACAGAGGCGGCTCAGTCAGACATTGGATTAGTACCAGTACGGTAAGTATTTGTACTTTTACTGCAACAAATGTACTTGTACTTAAGACCTTTACGTACTTAGTACAAAAAGTACCAAGTATTGTACTAAGTATCCAATGTCTGAGATCAATTCCCAAAAGGTGTGGGCGTAGGTACAAGGACAGAGAATATCCGCATGCATACGTACATCTACCATCCTTTTATTGAGGATTGATAGTTGAAGATAAATAAATGTTGTAATAAATTTACAAGTAAAATCAACTTCTTGTGTATTTAGAATATAAAATTTCACATGAAGTTTATCATAATTAAAACTTATTGATTCCATGCCTAGAAACATAAGAAGGACCGGCTAGTATCCAACAAAAAAATAATTCATACTCGGATAAGTAAAAAATCAATAAATGGGTTCTTCAATATTATCCATTGTCAATAACATGAATATACCATTAAAATTCATCAAATTATGTGATTTATAAATGAGTAAACTATAATCATAAGTACAAACAAGTTGAGAGAAAAGAATGAAAGTGACATTTCTGATTGAATAACAGTTTGTTTCAATAGCTTCATATATTGTTTTGATAAACGATATTTTCATGTTTCAACTGAATTAATTTTAAGAGAAAAACAATATGTTGCAAGAAAATTTTATGGTAATCTTCTCTCGAGCCATTTAAAATAAATTTAATTTTATCAAACGAAAAAAAATAATACTTAATTATAACACATGCGTGAAAATATTGTTTGTAACAGTGTTTAACCATGCATTAAATCATTGATATTAAATTGAATTCAATTTAATGATCACCCATTTTTTAAGTCAATCGTTGTTATCATTATGAAACATCAGACAATTCCTGTTTATTTCAAATATTTAAACATGAAGTTCATTGTTAAAATCTCAAAATTTAGCTGTTAATAAACGAAGTTTTTTTTCGATCTATGATCAGATGAAAAAGAACAATAATTTATATTTATTTTATGATTATTCTTAGTTCGCTAAGGAGTCATTCATAGAGGGGAGCCTGCAGATGTGCGTATAGATAACAAAAAGATTGAAAATTTTCAATAGAATTGTTTCTTCAATTTAAATAAATACTGTAGAAGATTTGATACCTCATCTTATTTCTCAATAAAAACGAAGAGAAAAAGAAAATCATTTAGATTTCTCATTGGAACTTGCACTACACAAATGTTAACATTCTCAAAAAACTACGTGAGAAAACACTTATTTACTTTTTACCTGATTTTTATGAGAAAAACTAGTCTTTTAAGAACAGTGGATGCACATGAAATATTATTGAATGGGTGTTATTGGCTATGAAAGAATTAGAAAGATTTATGACTCAGGTGACAATGTCGACATATCCGAAAGTTTTTTATTGACAATCTTTCATTACCAAAAGGTGCTGATCAATGCGGATGAAATTGATATTGAAAGAAATCTGCATCATGTTTTGCATAAGTCAATCGAATATGTGGAGAAATTTGCAAAGTAAGTGAAAAATTATTTGACTGAAGAGAAAATTAGACATTATCAGAGTCACTAGATGGAAAAATTGAAGTTATCTCAGTTCATCGTCTTTATTCTTTGATAAGAAATTGAATTCGATTAGGATATAATTTAAGCAAAATCCTACAAAGAATAAATGAAATATTTTCTCATATATCAAACAGTTCATCTTGATTCACTTTCAGCAATTAATGATGGTTTATGAATATGATTATTACGTTGTTCAAGATATAATGTCTTCCAATGAAATTACTGATTATTGATCTTTTCTTCTTGTAAGTATTAGTGAGAGAAATATCAATTTTTCCAATCTCAACTAATCAGTTCAATGTACTTTTGCCGTAATATGAATAGTTTACATTTTTACTGTCTCTCATGAGCAAAGTTAAAATCATGGGGGGATTAAATCCCATGAGGATGTGAGTGTGAGAGAGTAGAAGATCAATACCGACGTCCAAACTTCAAATCAACATACTGCGAGTCTTAGAAAGTAGTATGTACATGCTTCATCAATAATGAAGATGAAAGATACGAGTTCATTCCTATCACTTTAGTACAACAAGAATTACTGTGTGTATTAATGGATAATGTTAGCGTCAATAGATGGTGTTATTTGACGCCAACTCTATTATCATTAATTATGCTTGTTCCTCTCTGATCTTTTTTTGTTTTTTCGGTCATGGTGGACTTTTTTGATATCTCGCGTGGGTGCTTTGTTTAGTTCACCAGTTCATCTTTTTTTTTTCCTCTCACCTGTGTTAACCCATCACCCCTTTTTCAACTGTGACTATTATTATTCTTTGTTATTAATCTTCCCTGTTATTGATGATTTTTCTTTATTACTTTGAATAAATCATATTAACTACAGCATCAACAAACTTTATCCATACATCACAAAGACAAAATACGGTAAGCTGTTTTTACGTGAGCTCTTATACTCTGAAGCAGACAAAACCCCTATTTATATATCATTTAGCCTACGTAGCTTACGTTGGCTGAAGTCTTTGATATATTCCCGATCGAGAGTCTCACAATTGGTGGAGAAGTTGGGCACGAATTAGTCTGCCTATTTTTTCAGTTTTGTTTTTTGTCTTTTTTGTTGCATTTTTTTTCTCTTTTCTCTTCGCTACCCCTTTATTACTTTAAAAGTTCTTACCACCATAAACATAATCCATTACTTTATCGACATTTCAAAAATGTCTAACAACGATCAACGACCACTTATTTCTAAATCTACACTAATTGATTCGTTAAATCTACATACTACTTCCGCATCGTCATTTTTAACATCAACAATAAATCAAGAAGCAACATTAGCTGATCTATTAAATAACAATCGTAGAAAAGCCATCATACCTACACCCAACCGACCAACCATTGTATCACAATCAATTACTTGTAAAAATCCTGATGATGAATTAACAACAAATACAATTGTTGATAATGCTGATATTGAATCTTCAAAAACTGTAACCAAATTGCTTAATAGTCTTAAACAAGACGACATGATGGGCTGTACTGATAATCCATCTGAACCGGGAGAAAATGAAGAAGACCATCAATTTGACTCATTTGTCTTAGAACATTTTGTTCCGTTTTCTGGTAAACAACCAGTTAATCTATGGTTAGATGAAACTGAAAGTAAATTCAATCAATTCAAAATTTCTCGAAATTTCCGTTTTGAAGCAATCTCACTTCTCGTTGAAGGTGATGCTAAACGCTTATAGATAAAAAACCGAAAAGCGATTCGTAGTTTTGATGATTTTTACGAATTCTTGTTAGTACATTTTGATAACAATAATTCCAGTTCATCTACAATTAAATCTCAAGCAATATATATTCCTGATACTACAAATCAACAAACATCATGTCAAAATGAATCAATTACTGCTGCACAAGGAAAATCAATAGATATTCCAGACACTATAAATTCTACACGTCATTCACCATGTCATTCTACTGCTGTTGCTGATTGTCATACCACCAGCATCATTAGTGATACACTAGACAATAAACCAGGCAACCTTACTACAAATTCTTCGATTAATATACTTGATCAAACTACGAATGATCTTCGAAAAGCAATTGTAGGTGATTTGATTAGGAATCCCAAGGTATTTAAAGGTGGTAAAGATGATGTAAACAAATGGATCGAAGAAATTGAACATCTTTTAGATGTAGCACATATTCCTGATTCGAGTCGATTGGACATAATTTCTTATTCACTCCGAGGAGATGCTCTCCAATGGTATAAGGCTAACAAAGCAATGTTTACTTCATGGATAATATTTGTATATGAACTTAAAAGAGCTTTTACTTCCTCGTTTCATGAGGAATTAGCATTTAAAAAATTAGAAACATATACTCAAGGTGACAGTCAATCTATTCGAAATTTTTTCAATAAAGTTTTACAGTTATGCAAAGAAGCTGATCCCAACATGAGCGAATCAACAAAATTAAAGCATCTTCTCAATAAAGCCAAACCCACTATACAGTTCGAAGTTCGAAAGAAAAAACCTACCACTATCACCGAATTTTTTGAATATGCTAAAGATGTAGAAGAATGGTATCAGTTATCAAACATCAACATTGATAATAATAATAAGAATAATAATTCTCCAACTACTACACAACAACAAATATCTCCTTTAATGACTGTACCTTCTTCAAGTACTACTTATTCAAATAAACCGTTTTCGAATAAATTTACATCCGACTATTCAAGAAATTTTAACAACAATAATAACAATACATTTAGAAACCAAGATAATCGAAATAGTCCCCAATCATCAGCGTTTACAACTTCATCTTTTCGTTTACCTCAAGCTGCTCAATTTCAACCAAGAACTACCACTCAACGATTTCAACCAAATAAGAACAATTTTTTCTTTAACTCTAATAATGCTAATCGAACTCGACCACAGCAATATCAACCAAATTTGTCCAATATCGATCGACGACGTCAACAAGCAGCAAATGCAATCTCTCCATCAGATTCAACTATTATTCCCGATCTACACTCAGAAACTCTTCCAGTAATTGTTTGCACTCAGTGTAATGAATTTGGACATGAGGCTTCGACTTGTCCAAATTTCTAATTTCGGAATCATCGAATGATGGTGTTGATTCCAGAAAACATAATAAAAACCCATCGAAGTCATCCTTAATTTTTCTAACCACATCCGTCAATAAATATAAACTAAAAATTCTGATAGATACCGGAGCGACTACAACCTTCGTCAATGAAAAGATTTTACATCATATGAAACGTCCTCAATTTATTCATAAAAATCCTTATTCGTTTGTTTTGGCTGATGGTGTAGCACCTTTTCAAGTGCTTGGAACTATCGAATTATCAATTCAATTTGTCAATATGACAACAACAATTCAAGCTCATATTGCTCGAAATCTATGTGCCGATATGATCTTAGGCATGGATTATATCAATAAATACAATCTTAACATCGATGTTAAACAGCAAACTATCGCTATTGAATATAACAATCGAATATTAACAATGAATATTGATCAAGATTTTGAACTACACAAAATTCCTGTTACTTCTTCTAAAGCAATATATATACCTCCGCATTCCAATCGTTCATCAAAGGTTTCTATACCTATCTCATCTGTCTACTCCTCGTTCGTTCCATGCTCACATTTGAAATATAATACTCCGTCAATTATTACACAGACATGTTTAAACTTTCAAAACTATTGTTCTAGTGTTATCCTTTCTAACACTTCCGCGTATCCTCGATTTATTAGAAAAGGTGTTTGTGTCGGATTTTTGTTTTGTGGTTCACTATTGAAAGGTTCTCAGATACCGGCGTACTCTTTAAATAAATCATTTGGAGTCACCGGATATTCCGGTAAGACACCAGCCTCTCATGGTTTTGATATAGATGAGATCGTTAGTGGTCAGGAATCATTTGGAGTCAACGGTTCTTCCGGTAAGACACCAGTCGCTTGTGATTCTGATACATATAACATTGATTATTATAAGACACATAAGTTTCCCAACAAACATGTTTTTTATAATACTGTAAAATCGTTAAATCCTGTGGTCGAAGAACATATTCGTACAATAGCTCAGAAAATTAATAACAAACAGCAACAAGATCAGCTTTATTCCTTATTAGTTCGTTTTCATCGCACTTTTGATGTAACTAAACATAATATTGCGAATACACCCATTAATCACGTTATTAATACTATTCCTCATTCGCCGCCAGCTTGCAGACCTTATCCGCAGCCGAATACAGAGGAAGCTATGTACAAGTTAGTCCAGGAATTTTTACAGGCTTATAGGATCTCCCAATACGTAACTCTCTTCTTCCTTCATCTATAAGTTAGTCTCGTTAACAGGTATCATTATACAATGTCTTACGATCGCCATTTCCGCACAACATCCTCATCATTCAATTTCGACCATCTCATTCCAATTATCGGTCATTTTTATCTCGTCATCCGCTATTGCAGTTTCCGAATACTTCGGAAAACAGCAGTCATGTAGCTTATCCGAGCAGTAATGATTCGATTCTTTATCATCCTCTTCAACCAGAACGGAATCCTCATCCAAAAGATCCGTCATTTTTGTCTCGTCATTCGCTATTGCCGTTTCCGAACACTTCGGAACACAGCAGCCATATAGCTTATCCGAGCAATAATGACTTGATCAATCATCATCCCCAACAACCACAATTGAATTCTCATGTACGTTTTTTAAATCGATCAATCGAAACTTGTCCAAAACATTTAACGGGTAAAAAACGTACTAAATGGTTAAAAGCTGGTGAAAAAGCTCAAAAGAACAATCAAATATTGAACAATCACGACGCTTTCTATTGGCCTGAATCACACTACGGTCATCCAATCCACATTCACCATCAAACACCATTACATATTATTCAATCTCTTATACAAGAAATTTCAGATGTTCATCTTTTTACTATTGACACCGAATCAGATAAACCAACTATACGACAACCAAAACCAGTTCCTGCGTTGATACAAATACAGGCAATTCATAATGAAACTCTATCAACTGTAATACTAATAGAAGTACGTCATTTACCTTCTTCATCAACTCCATTATTTTCCAACAATATCATTTATTTGATCCATCCAACATTACTAATCCACAAAACATGCAAACCTTTTTTACACGAGAGTGGAATAAAATCCACCCACATACACCAGAATGCACTAATCATCATCAAGCAATCGAAAATAATAATCGAACTGATGATTTTCTCATATGCCTGGTAAACACTGATGATTTAGACATCGATTATAATTCAACTGATCTTACTGCTGATTATAACACATGTACCTGCCCTACTTCAATACGACCGTATAAGACCACAAATTCCATCTGGTCTCTTCAGAAAGCCATCCAATATACGTTTGATAAAGCTTTAGATAAATCATCGACATTGAACATCTGGTCTTGTGGACTTGATTCATCATTACAGACATCAAATACTAGTGAAGATAAATGTGCTCGAGAATCATTAATTACCTATGCGATAAATGATCTCTTCGCCGTAACTCAGCTATATTTTCATTTTAGTAAATCAAATATTCAGAGTCAAACTTCTACCAGTTTACCTCATTTGAATACAATCATGCCAAGTGAAACAATCAACGTTCCATCATTTTTAATTCTATCGGATAGTCATGGTAAACACCTCAAGTCAATGGAGAATACATCTAAATATACTATGATTACTCACTCGATTTCTGGTCTTCAATGGATCAATCAATACGATAGTAAATTATGTGCTCGTTCCATCATCTTATCTTCTTCTATGACATCAATTCTATCAAAATCTGCTGGTGTTTTATGTCTTATTGGTACAAATTCTGTTCGTACAACACACGCATTACAAATTATTCAACAGATTGAAGATATTATTCATACTATTCGCCTACATCATGCTCATCTTACACATAAACATGGTATTACCATAGTACAAACATTTCCGTGTTTCAAAGTATCAAAACGTTTTCCATCAACTACATTATTATCAAATAATATTGATACTTATAATAAAGAATTACAACTAATATCAAAACGTATGAATTTTTCATGCGTTAATTTTCATATTACGAATGAACATTTACATCATGACCATATGCATTTAAAATATCAATATCAAAATGTCCTTTCTCATGCAATCACTAATTATTTTGATGCAGTCATAAAGAAGAAATTAACTCTTAGTCAAAATCAACGTCGAAGTAGAACATCTGTCACAAACAGAAATAAAAGAATACACGAAAAATTACGAGCAAAGCAAAAACAGAACATACTTATTCGTCCTATTAGTATATTATGGAAATTACCTGATATTAAACAAGTATTGAAACATTATAATATACAATATGCTCGATTACCTGAAATTTATAAACATAAACTCCGTATTCAGTTCAACAATGAACTTTACCTACAACAAGCTGAGCGAATTTTATCTTCGAATATTTTCGATGAACAAAATTTTCTTGAATGGCATCGACAACATCAATAACATCCTTTTGTTTTTTTT